CCAACTCCGAGCACAATTATCTTACTGGAGTTCAGTAAGCTCAAAATTGCCTTTGAAATGAAGCCATAATATGAACTGCCTAATTCTCCCCGCAGATCATCTGTAAGTTGTTTTGTGTAATAAATTAAAATGTTTCAGAAATGAAATCATTTTTGGGTCACGCCTTAATGACCAAGGAAACATGTGGGTCCCGAGGTTACACAGGTTGAGAACCACTGATCTGGTATACATTTGGGTGAAAGTCCAGCTCCCGCTCGACTCCCCTTCTAATCTTCATAACTTGAAGATCTCTATGGTTGGGCAGACTTTCTGAAAATCATTTGGATGATGTCTTTATTTCAACAGTTGTTCAGAAGGGAGTCTATTAGACCCCTAATGTCACCTCTGTACTCCAATGAACATCAAGCACAGATCGCACTGAATCAGCTTCATACCCAGTCACAGTGGCCGGGGAATGACCGCTCTGAAACTGCAAGTGTGAAAAGCTTGTCATTTCCGGCTTAATTCTGCACAGATATGAATGCGGATGTTTGCTGATCGTCCTCCGTCCCACCTGCTGATGATGAACTACATTTCAGGTGCAGCTTCAACACAGAAATCTGAGATGACAGCCACCTGTTCCAGCCCTTTTTCAATGAATAGGGGAGGATTTTATGTCAATGTCTCATGTTGTACTGTCCTTGGAAGTCAGTTTTACACCATTTTAATTTGCAGAACAGTGCAAATGTTCCTTAGCATACTCTCCAGCCAGTCAGCACAAAAAAAAAACATTTTAAAGTGTTTAATGTTGTGGAAATGTTAATCCGCGGATTGTCCTATCCATGTGCGCCTTACCTTTTAATAGATATAAATTAATGTATGTTGCCATATTTGATTCCGTACAGAAACACACTGTAAGTCTTCACATTTTTTGAGCAAGTCTGGACTTCTGGTGTGTTTTCATTTCAGTACAGCGCTGCATGACGGAATAAATGTCAGTCAAAGTACCGCAGCGCTGAATACTGAAAAATGGCCTGGATGGGAAGGGGGTTTAACACCGCGGATGTCAACTGGTTAAAGGAAGATGGAATTTATCTTCAGGGCATGCGCACATACAATTTATTCATTGATACATTTATATTTATCTGGCGGCATCTCTGTGGGTCACGGGTGGGTGCTGCGGGGATTGATTTGCAGTGTGCCTGCTGTCCCCTTTTTGGACAGAGTATCCCAGGTTGCTAAGAGCCAGGTGGGGAGATGTGTGTGTGTAAGGGCCATATGCATCTCCCTGTACAGCTCTATGCAACCTGGGACGCTCTGGCTGGCGCCTGCTCAGCTCCTGGCAACCAGTGACATCACTGGTTGCCAGGAGCTGAGCAGGGCGCCCTGACCAGCGTATGCTCCCCCCACTAATGCCTCAGGTGGCGGAAAGCCTAAGGACAGCCCGATAGATAGATAGATAGATAGATAGATAGATAGATAGATAGATAGATAGATAGATAGATATACAGTATACATGTCCCAGGTCGGGAGCTTTATAAATTGCCCTGCCCATGTGTACCTTTATTTTTGCTAGTTTAAAACTGAGCTGACTGGCTGTTTGCCCTTTTATTATGTTACAGGCAGTTCATTCCTAGGCATCTGTCAGGCTCGTCCTTTTACTCAACAGTTCCGCAGCTGCAGTCCATTTCCCATCAACCCGCTTGATTGTGATAGCATCTCACTTTTCTGCCTTACCATTCTACCCAGTTTGTCTGGTTACAGCCAACAAGGAATCCAGAATTAGCAAGACATATTTTTTTTTTACTTTCAAGAAGCCTGAAAAATCATCCTTGATTTATTGGAAACCTGTATTGCATTGGAATCTTCTTCTAAGTCTTCTTGGTGAATTCGGTTGAAAGCCATCATATTCTCCTTCCAGACTGGGTCTCAGGAAGTATACCTGCATAAACATGAGATTGAGACAGAATAATGAGAGACTCCGATGTGGGTGCAACCAAGCTAAAATCTATGGCACAAAGAGCTTGCAACTGAACTAAGTTATAAAGCATCACTGATTTGCTCAGCCTGCTATGCTCTATCTATCTTTTTGAGAAGACTGACCCTTTAAAGGAGAACTATGACATGAGTGATTTCCACTCACCTCATAGTTCTAAGCCGACCTGTGACAATGAGACTGTCACAGGTCGGCTCAGTAGATCGGGAGGTGAGGGAAAACATACCGGGTTCCCTCACCTCTCGTTCCTGTCACGGCTCTCTGCCGTGACAGGGGGAGGGGCTGGATTCCCCGCTCCGATCTGCCAGCGCTGACTGGCGGAATGGACGGGGGAGGGGGCGGGTACAGCTGGCTCTGCCTCTAGATAGGCAGAGCCAGCTGTCACTCACGCAGCTGGGCGGATCCCGTCATCTAAGTCGGGATCCGCTCCAGGTGCGGCGTCTCAGTATACCGTGAGCTGTAGCTCGCGGTATACTGAGCTTAGGGTAACGGGAGGACGCTAGTTTGTGTCCTCCCGTTACCCCA